TATTAGTAATCCAAAATACTTTAAATAACATTGCGTGCCTGCCTGTCTTGGAAGAGTTGGACAGCAAACCAACTTCAGCAGAAATAAAAGCAGCCTTGGATTCCCTCACCTCCGGCAAGGCATCTGGAATGGATAACATCTCTTTTAAAGTGCTGAAGTGTTGCAAAGAGATCATTTCCACTGAGCTGTATGAAATTTTTGTCTTTGCTGGAGGGAAGGTGGAATACCACAGGACATGAAGGATGCAAACATTGTCACATTGTATAAGAACAGAGGCAGCAGGGGTGACTGGAATAAATACCGTGGCATCTCTCTTCTCATCGTTATAGGGAAGCTGCTTGCCTGTGTTGTGCTGAAGAGGCTCCAGGTGCTTGCAAACAGAGTCTGTCCAGAATCACTGTGGATTTCAAACTAATAGATCCACCATCAACATGGTATTCTCCCTCAGACAGTTGCAGGAGAAATTTAGGGAACAACAGCGCCTCTTTGTGGCCTTCTTAGATCTCACAACGGCCTTTGATTTGGTTAGCGGGGATGGCCTTTATAAAATACTTCCCAAGATTGGATGTCCACCTCAGCTCCTTAACATCATCAGGTCTTTTCATTAGGAAATGAAGGGCACTGTAGTTATTGATGGCTCAACATCAGATCCCTTTGACATCTGGAGTGGAGTGAAAGAGGGCTGTGTCATCGCGCCGACTCTGTTTGGGATCTTTTTTGCTGTCGTGCTGAAGCAAACTTTTGGAACCACAACAGAAGGTGTCTATCTCTGGACTAGATCAGATGGAAAGCTCTTTAATACCTCTAGATTGAGAGCGAAGACCAAAGTCCAGTTGAAATGCATGCAGGACTTCCTCTTCGCCAATGATGCAGCTGTTGTTGCCCATTCTGCCGAAGATGTCCAACAACTTATGAATTGTTTTAGCAAGGCCTGCCAAGATTTTGGATTAACAACCAGCCTGAAGAAAGCATAAGTCATGGGCCAGGGTGTGAATTCACCTCCCTCTATTACCATCTCTATACAAGAATTGGAGGTTGTTCATGATTTCGTGTACCTTGGCTCAACAATCTCTGACACACACTCTCTGCATAGATGTTGAGCTGGATAAATACATTGGCAAAGCAGCTACCATGTTCTCTAGACTTACAAAGATAGAATGGCTTAACAAGAAGCTGATGGCATATACCAAGATCCAGGTCTATAGAGCCTGTGTCCTGAGTACACTCCTGTACTGCAGTGAGTCCTGGATCCTTTGTGCAAGGCAGGAGAGGAAGTTGAACAGGTTCCATATGCGTTGTCTCTGATGCATTTTTGGCACCACCTGGCAGGACAAAGTTCCAAATAGAGTAGTCCTGGAACGAAGTGTAATTTTTAGCATGTATACAGCGACATCTACGCTGGCTTGGGCATGTCGTGAGAATGGCTGATTATAGGATTCCAAAAGATTTCCTGTATGGAAAATTAGTGCAGGGAAATCACCCCAGAGGGAGACCACAGCTGTGATATAAGGATAACTTGAAGTGGGATCTGAAGACCGTAGGAATGGACCTCAACAGATGGGAAACCTTGACATCTGAGTGTTCAGCCTGGAGGCAGGCGGTGCAGCATGGCCTCTCCCAATATGAAGAGACACTTGTTAAGCAGGCTGAGGCAAAGAGGCAGTCTCAAAACCAGCAAAATCGGGGAGCTGGACAGGGGACAGATTGTATTTGTCTTCAATGTGAAAGGGATTGTCACTCTCAAATTGGCTTTCTAAGCCACACCAGCTGCTGTTCCAAGAACTCTATTCAGAGCACGTTACCATAGTCTCTTGAGACTGAAGGATGTCTACAAATGCGACAAAGTTGTCCTAACCCAACAGTTGCTATGAATGTTGATAATCTTCCCCAACTGCTAAAGCCTGATTTGTACATGTTAATGCTTGTGGAACTTTTGGATTGGAGCAACTGGCTCTAATTGGTTGATCTGTCTTGCTGTGTTTGCTGAAATTGCAGTAGAACTAATGGATTCGGGTGTCCAAACAATGGTGGAAAATTGGGCTCTTTGCTTCATTTTGTTAATTAGATACAAGTTACTAATAGCCCGTACTTGGTGTTCAGTATAACCTTTGTTGTAGTGTACGGATATTTCATAAATTGTTAATATTGTCTGCAGTCTAATTCCCTGTTGCAGAGTAATTTACATACTAGGTTTCCACCTCCTTTTAATTGCTTATAATTTTGAGTACTTTTCTGTGGGGGGTGGGGTAGGGCTTCCTTTTCATACTGACTTTGTGTTGTAGGACATGACATTTCTATTTTGAGTGGGGCTGTAAATCAACACGGCTATTTTGGTCTCCTTCCTTGTTTAAGAAACAGAACTCAAAAATAGATGCTATTGAATTCTAGTACCTGGTGATAAAATGAATTTATATTTAGAAACAGTGAACCTGTTTGCTGTTATACTGTTTCAGTTATGTATAAGGTAGATTTGGGAATAATATACTTGGAAGTTTCATAAGAGTAAGTGATTTGAGAATATAAACATAACCCAACTGCAGAGATGTTTGCACTCCTCTCCTTCTTTCAGAGAGAGATCAGTTTCCTTATTTTTTAGGTTATGTTGCCTGATCTGTCCTAGAATTATTCAAAGGATCTGTGTATTTTAACATTTTTTGTTGAGTTCATATTAAATGCAGACTGAATGGAGCACAACAGAACCAGATTTTCTTGTTTTTGTTTTTAATCACTGAAGTTCTAGGTGTCAGGATCGTATCGCTGAAGTCAATGGTGAAATAATTGGTTTGACCACGTATTTATGATAAAGGAAAAGTAATAATTCCTTTATATCAGGGGTCCCCAACCTTTTTAACCCCACGGACCGGCTGGGGAAGGCGGGGCATCCCCTTGCACAGGAGTGCACATGTGCTTACATGGGCGCTCATGCACATGCACAAAGGAGCAGGATGGTGCTCATGCGCATGTGCAAATGGTGGCACTGTGCTCATGCAGGTACTTGTGCGCATGATCAAATGGCGGGGCAGCACTCATGTGAGCGTGCGGGCAGTCATGCGCATGCACAAAAGGGTGGGGAGCAGTTGTGCATGGGGAAACCTTTGAAAAAAACACAACTTAAAAACAGTATTCAGCCCCACCACAAAATACAACAAATGTTACGGTCAGCAAAGGACAGAAGGGACCCCCTCACCACTACAGGAGTATACCGGATACCTTGCAGTTGTGGACAGGTATATATTGGAACCACAAAACGCAGCATTCACACTACAATCAAAGAACATGACACTGCAGACTAAAACAACCGGAAAAATCTGCAGTAGCTGAACATGCCCTAAAACAAGCTGGACATGAAATTCTATTTCGAAATACTGAAGTACTGGACAACGCCAGCAATCATTATGTTAGACTGCACAGGGAAGCCATTGAAATCCATACACATAAACAGAACTTGAACAAAAAGGAAGAAGGCCTAAAACTAAACAAGGCCTGGCTTCCACTACTTCCAGTCAACGAACTCTACACAGCCACAAGGACCAGGGATCATTTCACAAAAAAGACCAGCAAATGACACCCATCAATCACAGTGACAGATAATTGCTCTCCCCCTTATCACAACAAAAAAACACTGATCACCCTATCTCCTGAAAAAGGACAAAAGCTGTTCCCACAGCTGTACATACTCAACTATCCAACAAACACCAACAGAGCATGGACAGAGCTCCTACTCCAGTCCTCTAAAGATGCCGGCCACAGAGACTGGCGAAATGTCAGGCAAAACAACCTTCAGAACACGGCCAAAGAGCCCAAAAAACCCACAACAACCATCAGATCCCGGCCATGAAAGCCTTCGAGAATACAGTGGTGCCTCGCTTAACTATGATAATCCGTTCCAGGAAAATTGCTGTTAAGCGAAAACATCGTAAAGCAAAATTAAAAAACCTATTGAAACGCATTGAAAACCGTTCAGTGCATTCCAATGGGCTAAAAACTCACCGTCCAGCAAAGATCCTCCATACAGTGGCCATTTTCTGTGCCTGTATAGTGAGGAATCCATCCCTAAGCACAGCGGGGAGCCATTTTAAGCATCCGGTGGCCATTTTGAAAACCCAACGATCAGGTGTTTTTTATCGTCGTAAAGCGAAAATCGGTTCCCGAAGCAGGAAACCAATCATCGCTAAGTGAAATCCCCCCATTTAGACCATCATTTTGCTATCGCAATTGCGATCGCAAACACATTGTCGTAAAGTGCATTCGTCGTAATGCGGGGTAATAGTTAAGCGGGGCATGACTGTACATTAAGTGGAACAGCTCATGATACTAGGCTGAGGGGCTGCCGACTACCTAGCCCACCAGGGCAGTTCACGGTCTGCCACTGCCCATGGTGAGAAGCGAAGTGCTGTTCTCCCATATTTTTTAGGACCTGGGGTCACTGTCCCACTCCTCTATCATGCACAGAATCAGCACTGGTGGCAGCATCCCCAGCATACTGCCAGAAGAGACGCAAGAACTGAGAGGGCAGCCCTTGCTCCTTTGTTCCATGCTGCAGTGCCTGAGGGAGAGGTGAGATGGGGAGTAGTTCCCCCCCCTCACATCTCTCATAATATCTTGCCTTTGAGGATACCTTGCAACTAGACATTGTTGGAAAAGACAGTTGGCTTCTGAGTATGGGCCATATTGTGGTGGCAATTTCACCAACCCCAGAGCTCTGCCTACCTAGATAAGTGCCTGTCTTGCCTAGCTTGGCTCTCTCAGCTGTCGCAATCTCATACAAACCAGATTTTCTTCTTTTTAATAATGCATTCTCTGAGTGATATTTCATTTGCAAATGTGAGACAAATTAATTTTTATTTGATTGCCTATTATTCTTTCTATTCCAGATCAGTTAATTTGATGTTAGCAGCAGCCACTGTGTCTCTTTATGCACTGATTAGAAGAGATCCTTAAGATCAAGTACGTTGTGTGCATGAATTCCATTGTAATGTTATGTTATTGGCTTGCTGTAGGAAGAAGACATAATTACTAAAGATGAAGAAGCAATGGCTTGGAAATTTCTTTCTCTTGATGAAATTACAATTCTGTTGGAAAAAGATATACTAGGAGTTCAAAGGTAAATCTGTTGAATTTATTCTTAAATATAGATAATACTGCTTTTGTCAGAGCTTGGGATTCACAAGAAACAAGTTATGTATTTGCTTGCAACAAATACTTGTTTCTTAGCAGGGGTGAAAGGAATTTCCACTTCAAATGTAATATAATAAGTGGGGGCGGGTTTAGTTGAACTTTATATTTAGCCGTAGTCCATCGGAATAAAATACAATTAAAGATGGGCACGAACTGCACTTTGGTGCGGCACCCACACAGATGTTCCACAGGGGCTGTGCACTTCCTTCCCTGCCTCCTCTGTGTGCTCGCCCACTCACTGGCTGTAGCATGCTTCCTTCCTCTGCCTTCTCTGTGCTATTGTCCATTTACTGGCAGTGCTGTGGGCTTCCCTGTCCCGCCTCCTTGTCTGAGTGAAGGACTGTGCTAAAGAGCCAAAGGGGGGGAAGTACACTGCAGCCAGTGAGTAGGAGAACACACAGAGGAGACTGGGGAGGGAAGCACATGGTACACTTGGAAAGCTTGTGTGAGCACCAACCTGAGTTATTTGTGCCCATCTCTAAATACAATAAAGCACAAGTAAAAATACAGACCAGAATAAGAAAAGCAACATTAAAAGACTGACATTTAAACATGACTCTCAGTTGTTTAATTAGTTTCCATAAAAGTAAGGTAAAATAGAGTTAAATGGAGGATAAAATAAGAACAGCCCTAAATGGTTTGGGCCCAAGCTATCTCCAGGACCACATCTAAATAAACAAACAAATAAATAAATAGCAGAATTAGGAGGTTGAACATTTAAAACAAACCTTTTTATTACTCTAGCCATTTTGTGTTCATGAAAGAACAGTGTAATCTCTTTGCTGTCACAGGAACAATGCAATTATATGACTGAGAAAGAGCTGATCATGGAGTTTCTAGTATGCTGGACAATAATAGAAGAATTTCATCTTTAATTCTTTATGTATAGAGAAAGTTCAAGACATAGCATACAATATCCTCAACACAGCGTACAACATATATACATAGCAGACAATATCCACAACCATAGATTCCATTTATTCTAATGGAGGTTCACATGTGTATCTTCTATCTAGGTATGGAGATGGCATTGCCTGTAATCTTGGTTGAGTAAAAGTACTACAGTGGTGCCCCGCATAGTGACGTTAATCCGTTCCGGATTAATCATCGCTATACAGAAACATCACTAAACGGAATGGAAAAAGCCACAGGAACGCATTAAACTTCGTTTAATGATTCTTATGGCTCTCAAACTCACCATTCAGTGAAGTTCCTCCATGGTGTCGCCATTTTCGCACCCTTGGTAAGCGAGGGCAGGGCGCAAAAACACTTGCGGCGGCCATTTTGGGCACCCGTCGGCCATTTTGGAACCGCCGATCAGCTGTTTAAAAAAACATTGCAATGCGAAGATTGGTAAGCGAAACGCTCGTTAAGCAAGGCACCACCGTACATATCTGGGGTTGTCAGAGGTTGGAAGTAATTGCCCCTAAGAAGAATGATTAATAACCCTCCTATCTTCACCATCATCCCAATCAAAGGCCCTGTTTCACAAAGCAGGATTAAATCCATATGCTAGTAATTTTTCTATCAGCAGGCTATACAGTAAGACTCCTGTATTTGTGGGATCAGTATGTGTGGTTTCAGTTATCCATGGTCTGAAAGTAATAAAAATATATTTTTAAAAAAATCCAGAAAAACTGTTTTCACATTTATTACCAGAAGAGGCCACTACAGGGAGCAAGAGACTGTGCTGTGAATGCTTGTTAGTGAAAGGCCACTAGAGGGAGCAAGAGACTGGGCTGTGAATGCTTGTTAGGGAAGAATGCATAGCATGGTATCTGGTGCCCTCTAGTGGCCAGTTCTGGCCATGCATATGAAGATATTTTCTGGGTTTTTTCCTTTTACCAGGCGAGAGAGCTTGGGTTTTTTCCTTTTACCAGGCGAGAGAGAGAGATCACTATTATCCATGGTTTTCAGTATCCACAGTGAGCTTGGAACAAATTCCAAGCAGATATGGGCATCCTACTGTAGTTCTATTCCTCATCTTGACACTACTGTGCCCAGCACCCATAGCTCAATTGCTCAAACAAGCATTGCTCAGCAAGTTGTCCATCATCCATTCCGTTCAGCTTCAGCCAGTATCTACAGGGCAAACCTTATTCAGCCATAAGGAGAGAGGCCAGCATGCCAAAAGAAATCTGAGAATGTTGGTCATAAACTTATTCTGGAAAATCTCCAGAGCTGTTTTGTCTCTTTCACCTCAGATTTCTGCCCCAAATAGCATATGCATTATAATTTTATCAGTGAAGACTTTAAAATAGGATTAACTAATCAGCCTTCTTTTGAGTAGAAAAATCTCTTCACCTGCATCGTAATTTTACTACTTAATAATTTAATTATAGCTAGATGATTTTCCCATGAGAGACATACATCAACGTTCAATCCCTAAGTGTATGTAAATGCCAGCTTGTTCTAACTGATGTCCATCTGTGGCGTTTACCCCATGGCCCCTGCTTGTTTCACCAAACACAGGGCTCACACGAGTATCCCAAACCACCTTTTAACACGCTGCCACCAGCTGATCTCTTTATCAACCTATATTTCCTATGAAAGATTGAGGTCCATTCAATACTGACGTTTTAAACAGAAACAGGTTTATTTATTACAAGTTGTTTCAGGACTACAGTGGTGCCTCGCTTGATGAGGATAATTTGTTCCATTGAAATCGCTGTTAAGCGAAATCCTCGTCAAGCGAAATGAAAAAACCAATTGAAATGCATTGAAAACTGGTTCAATGCGTTCCAATGGGCTAAATACCTCAGCGTCCAGCGAAGATCCTCCATAGGGCGGCCATTTTCGGTGCCTGTAAAGTGAGGAATCCGTCCTAAAGCACAGCAGGGAGCCATTTTGCACAGCAGGCGGCCATTTTAGAGCCACCAATCAGCTGTTTTAGAATAATCGTCTAGGGAAAAATCGGTTCCCGAAGCAGGGAACAGATCATTGTCAAGCAAATTTTCCCTATCTAAATATCGTTTTGCGATCGCTGCAATCGCAAAAATCTCATCATAAAGTGGATTCGTCGTTTAACAAGGTAATCGTTAAGTGAGGCACCATTGTAGTTCTTAAGTGCATTCTTAAAGTTACACAAAGCTTCTGTAATTTACTTTAACCTCTTCTGTCTTAGTTAATACAGGCCACACGCTGACTAATCACTACTTAAACACTCTTTCTGCCTCTAACTCCAAACTCTCTCTCTCTCTTCCCTGTCTCTCTCTGACTGAACTGACTAGACTCTGACTCACCCCTCCCTTAGTTTCCCTGGCTCTGCCTCCCAAAGGCTCTCATTGGTACAGGCCAATAATCTTCTACCTGAGGGTGATTGCTACACCATCCAGGGCTCATTTATATCTCTGGTTCCTCTTAAAGTGGGAATAAAGTTACTTTATTAATATACTGAGTAATTTCATCTGATGAATTTGAAATAACTTTTCCAGAAGCATTTTTGGAGCATTTTGACAAAGATGTTTTGGTTTTTGTGCCATTCTTTTATCATTTCTAAGGTGATTTTTTAAAAAGTAATGAAAAATAGTGAAAATGCAGTGATTAATTGTGTTGAACATTTATGCAAAAGGTGTATATTCTGGAAGTGAATTGCTGTAACCTAAGAAATCTCCATAAGGCATTATTTGTTGTATAACAAGTCATGCAACTTGACGTACAAGAGATGAAAAATTTCTTGAATTATGGCAGTTTGTTTCTAAAAGTTACACTATTTGCATAACTGCTCAACAAGTTTTTAGCCAATGAGTAACAGAATGTGTTACTTTCTAATGTTCTAACTCGTAACAACAAGAAGTTACATTTCAACACTACAGCAAGTGACAGGAATGAATTTTCATTTTAACTATCCAGCCTCTCATTGTAGTTTCTGTTTTCTTCTGCTGAGATAGCAGCCTGCATGGCTTACAGTATTACCACCTGTTGCTAGATTCTTTCCAAAGGACATGAAACTTAGCTTCTACTGTTACTGGGATGTTTTTCACTAGAAATCATCACGTTTAAATACATCAGATGTGCTAGTGCCCTTGTGGGCTTATTTAAGAGGATGGTACAAAATCAGATGAAGGAAATTAATTTTCTTAATTTATATCCTGAACTTTCAAAATTTGTGGCAGCTAACAGCATATGGATTATTACGTCTCAGGATTCTGTTGGGCCAAAGCATTAGAATTCACACCTGTGCAACTTGGAGGATTCCTGACTCTGTTAAATTTGCTGTTGGAGAACCTTGAAAGTATGTTTTCTTATCCAAAGCCTTTTAAATATCTGAGTTTCCACTTGAGCACTTTTTCTCATTTCTGATCATCTCAACCCTCAGTAGGTTGTACATTTTAAATTAGCTAGAACTCTATAGCCACAATTATCTGAAAGACATAATATTACAGCTTATTGGACTGCAAAGATGTCTGAGAGTCAGAAGCTGCAGTTTTAAAGTGTCACTGGATAAGATGCTGACCCCATATCAAGAAGCATTGCCCCCTCAAGCGGTGAATAATATCTGCTTGTGGAAGCACATGCTCTCCCTCAGCTATGGATCATGCATTTCCCATGCCGTGTTTTAACTGTTAAAAGGAGGGTTGTATAAGCATGGCCACAGTTATCTTTTCTTAATTTCTGACTGTTTAAAATGTTTTGCACACACTTTTACTAATTCAATGTAATTCATTTTGTAAAGTGTTTTTTGAAAGTTGTCCAAAAATATATATCTCATTTGTTTTATATACAAAACAGATCACTGTCATGGTCCCCAAATCCTCTTCTCCATATGAAAATTGGTTGTCTCACATGAAATTGTCCTTCTTTTGCAACCCAAATGTTAGATGTGATCCAGCTGAAAGATAAGCATGTACAAGCCTTGTTGGTTTTAGCGGAAGAGATAGGCATGTGCTTAAATCTTTCCTTTTGGCCCTAACTGGATCATACTATTTGCATAAAGTTAATCTATCCAGATTAGATGAACGTGTGCTGTTATCCAGTTATGTTTCACAAGGGCTTGCACATCTATGAACAGAAGTTTGCAACAATTAGTTCTTGTGACTTATAGCCACAGTGCTTCTATTGTGTATTTCAGTAAGATCAACTAGACTGGAATGAGCAGAAGTGGCCTAGTGAGGGACCACAGGGCATTATCTAATGGCCCACCTCTGTGCAGGCTGCTTGGTTCTCCTTCATGGTCTCTGTGAAAGCACACAAATGGGTTGTTCTGCGCCTGCACAGGACCTCTCGGAAGTTTCTAGAGCTCCATTGCCTCCAGCTCAGGCTCCCGCTTCGGCAGGTAGCCCATCACGGAGTATTGGCCTCTCTGTGGCTGATGTACACATCAGCCAGGCCTCAGCCCATTCTAGTCCTGCTTCATCAGGATGGCCAATACATATTCAGCTTTCTGATTCTGAGTCTCTACGTCGATCTCCTTGAAAAGATACATCAAAGAGACAACACCTCTCTCCATTACCCTATGATCCCCTACGGGAAGACTTTGTATATTATCAAGAACCCGCTCAATACCATCCACAAGCTGATTATTGGGATCCCTAGTACACAAAATATGACCCATATTTCCAAGATGACCTCCTAGAACAAATCTATTATGAAAAACTGAAGAGAGTCCATTATTCCATGGATTATCCACATTGACATTCACCTTCGATATCGCCTTCTTCACCTCAGTACCGACGCCACTCACGTGCATTCAAGACTCTACCTCCGGAACAACTTCCTAATACAATTTTTAAATGACATCATACTGCAATGGAACAAACTCTATCAAAGTGTCCTTGACCTCAATAACCACAACTTCATCATATCGTCATTACGCTTCTCTCCAAGTTACCGCTACATACAAGGGTCCCCCTCCTCCTCCATCCGATATCGATAAGGGTTCTACAACAATAGTACCCTTTGCTTCCAAACCACTCACATCCAGATCTCATCAACTTTCTCCATCATCAGACTCTTCTCATTCTGATCACGAATCGTCGGATGTATCACAAGAATCTCCATCTAATCTACGCAGTCCTGGTTCAGATGTTGCAGAAAACCAACCTCCCTCCTCTTCAGAGGATTTGAACTGGAAATTGAAGAACCACCACCTCCCAAACAGGACTTAGTGTTTAATGACATTAATCAGGAAAAAACACCACCACTCAGTCTTGCATTTATACCAGCCATGCTAGACTTGGTTAAAGAATCTTAGGACAAACCGCCACCTTCTCTCCAAATCTCAAGGAGAGTAGAAAGTCATTATAAAACTCATAGCCCCGACACCTCTTTTTTGACCAAACATCCCATGCCAAATTCCATCATTGTAGAATCTAATCAATCTCAGGCTAGAAATAAATCATCTGTTGCTCTGACCAGCATAGAGGGCAGAAAACTCCACATTCTCGGCAGATGTTTATACTCTCTCACCTCTTTTCTGATGAGAGTTGCTAATTTCCAAGCAGCTATGGGAGCTTACCATAATCAGCTATGGAATAAAATGCTACCAATTCTTCAAGCAGCTCCTGAAACCGCTAGATCAGAAGCCCTAAATGTCCATATTGAGGCCTCAACATTGGCAAAACAACAAAGAATTGCCTCTAGGTATACTGCCGATGCTGCCTCCAAAGCTGTGGCAACATCCATTGCTTTCTGACCTCATGCTTGGCTTAGATCAGCAGTCATATCAGATGAGACTAGGTCCCATATCGAGGACCTCCCGTCCGATGCTGCAGGCCTCTTTAACGAGAAAACAGACAAAGTAATGTACAATCTTCACAAAATTAGAAAAACTGCAAGATCTTATTTGACTCAACAACCTTACCATTATCAGAGACCTCAATGGCACAGACAACCATTTGTTCATCAATCATTTCAACAGCAATACAAACCATACAAGTCACACATGCTTGAAAGACCTTTCTCCACTCAGTCTACTTCCACTGCTCCTGCCCCTTGATTCCAACCTCAACCTCAAAATTGACAAACTTTTTGTCGCCCACAAAAGAAGGGTAAGCAATACCCATAACTTCATTATACAACAGCCTATCACTTCTGTTTCATTTAAAACATGGCTTTATTTCTAACTTCATGGTCGCTCATCACTAACAACCATTGGGTTTTGTCCATGATCGAAAACGGTTACCCTGTAGAATTTGATCACCTTCCACCCCTTGGACAAATTAAATATACTCCATACTCGTCAGCCCTGAGAGAAGAAGTTCTCCTTCTTCAAAAACTTGCCATCATCACTGTTCCACTGACTGATATCAAACATGGTTTTTATTCAAGATATTTCACAGTACCAAAGAAAGACAGAGGACTCCGTCCAATCTTTGACCTTAACACTCTAGACACTGTTATTCCCCTCCTTTCACATGGAGATTGGTTTGTCATGATCAACCTGCAGGATACATATTTCCACATTTCTATCCATGCGCAACATCACAAATACCTTCAATTCCATTTCGACAACACTGCCTGTCAATTCTGTTCCCTCCCATTCGGCCTGTCTACAGCACTGAGAACCTTCAACAAATGTCTTGTGCCAGTTGCAGCACATCTCTGTCTCCTGGAATTACAGTTTTCTCATACATCAATGACTGGCTGATTGTCTCCGATGCTTATCAAGCTGCTCTAAGAGACACTCCCATCACCCTTGACACATTACAACATCTCAGCCTCAAGGTCAACTTCATCAAATCATCCCTCGAACCATCACAGGCTGCAACCTATATAGGTGCACATCTCGACTCTTGCCATGCTTAAGCCTTCCCATCGCCAGATCGAATAACAAAACTAAGATTGGCTATTCAACCTTTTCGACCTCTTGCCTGGGTATTGGCTGACCAGACTCAACGTTTCCTCAGACTCATGGCATCCACTACCTCTGTCATACAACACAACAGACTCAAAATGCGATCTCTCTAATCCTGGTACCTTTCCCTATTCAATCCAGTGCCAGACCACCCACTGAAACACCTCAGGGTATGCACCGAATTAGCTCAACAAATTACGTGGTGGACCTTCCATCCACATCTACTCATTGGCTGCCCTTCTGCTCCTCTTCAACTCACAATTCAGATCACCACCAATGCTAGCCCTTTGGGCTGGGGAGCTCATTGTCGGGGCCACAAGATCCATGCCCTGTGGACAAAGAAGGAACAGTCTTTACACATAAACCATCTTGAACTCTTAGCTATCATCAAAGCCTTCCATGCCTTCCAACCACTTGTTACAGGACACGCCGTCCAAATCGCTACTGACAGTATGACAGCTCTATATTATATAAACAAGCAAGGAGGCACACACACTCTATTGCTCCTATTCCTAGCAGTTCACTTCTGGGAGTAGTGTTACCTCCACATATTCCCAGTCGCAGTTCATGTTGCCACAGAAGACAACTCCTTGGTGGACCACTTAAGCCATCTTACCGTTACAACACACAAGCGGTCTCTAGATGACATGATCTTTGCTCAAATCTGCAAAAGATGAAACAATCCTTCCATCAATGTTTTTGCCACTCAAAACAGTTCAAAATGCCCTCAATACTCTTCCTGTGCCGGAACCGACAAAGGCTTCATGGGAGATGTGTTCATGATAGACTGGAGACCTCATCTTCCATACCTCTTCCCACCACTGTCACTCATACAATGCATGGTAATCAGAATCCAGCAATTGCAATCCAATGCCATTCTTCTAGCCCCTTGGTGGCCTCGACAACCATGGTTCACCCACCTGTCATTATGTGCACCGATCAGTTTTGCCTCTCCCCCCCATTCAGAACCTGTTAACTCAGAATGACAGCAGGATTTATCATCCTGACCTCCAGTCCCTCAAGCTCATAGCGTGGAGTATTCTCTCTTCATAAGGGCTATCCTGGATAAGGCTAGAAAACCCTCCACTCAACTTCTTTATGAACAAAAATGGAAAGCCTTTTCTGCACATACCGACTCTAAGGGACTCACAGCTTCACCTACGTCTTTAGACACACTACTTAACTTCTATACCTCTTCCATATGGGCCTATCACACTCTAAGAGTCTACATTGTTGCTGTTATAGCCCATCAACCCTCTGACTCTGAATCTGCTCGATTCTTTACTCATCCCACTCTGAAGAAATTTCTCAGAGGACTTTACAATGTATGTCACCTTCACTGGCCCCCTCTCCCACAACGGTCTCTTCAAACTGTTCTCAATGCCCTTACCAGGCATCCATTTGAACCTATGGCTACCACCAACCTCAAAGTTCTTTCCATAAAACCCCTTTTCCTTGTAGCCATTACATCAGCTAGAGGGCCCAGCGAATTAGCAGCCCTCATATTGGACCCTCCGTATCTCCAGTTCCATCCAGAAAAGGTCACATTATACCCAGATGTTTCCTTTCTTCTTAAGGTGGTGTCAGATTTTCATTTCAACCAGCCCTTGATTCTACCTTCAAGCTTCCCATCTCCAACATCAGACATTGAGTGCATGTTTCACACTTTGCATGTTCGCCATGCCTTGGCTTTTTATATTGACAGAACTAAGGCATTCAGGAAATCTCCTCACCTCTTTGTTTGTTTTCATGGCCCTCACAAGGGTTCACCAGCCTCATCACAGACATTATCCATTTCCCTGGCTTACGAGCTCGCAGGCAAACCACCTCCTGATGCTCTTAAAGCTCATTCTACGTTATCCAGATGGATAGTCCAGGCCATTTCCCTGGCTTACGATCTCGCAGGCAAACTACCTCCTGATGCTCTTAAAGCTCATTCTACTACAGCTGTTTCTACTTCTACTGCATAGACATTTCCAACATATGTCGAGCAAAATATGTTGAGCAACCCTCGACATTTGTCTCCCATTATAGACTTAATGTCGGAGCAAAGAATGATGCTTGATTTGGGAGAGCTGTTCTTACCTCCTTTCTCACGTGACCCACCAACCAGTAAGTAAGCTTGTCAGTCACCCATTTGTGTGCATTCACAGAGACCACGAAGATGAAAGAGCAGTTGCTTACCTGTAACCATGGTTCTCCTAGTGGTCCCCTGTGAATCTACATATCCCACCTGTCCTCCCCTCTGTCTGTCACGTTGTCAACTCCATCTATTTCTGACAGTGGCAGGCTTTTTGGGAACTGAGGGGACTTCTGGCGGGTGCAGCCTGTGCTTCCTGGGGGAAGTCCCACTAATCACATGTCTTTAAGCTCTAGAAACTTCCAAGAGGTCCTGCGCAGGTGCAGAACAATCCATTTGTGTGGATTCACAGGGGACCACTTGCAGAACCATGGTTACAGGTAAGTAACCTCTCTATTCCCTGCAAGGAATATTGGACTTAGTGAGCCTTGGTCTCATTTAACAAGAGATCTCTTAAACAAGAGAAACTAAATTCAGACATAACATGAAACCATTGTTTTGCATGTGTTTATTGTATTTATATGCCACTTTTCTCACAGAATTCGGACTCAAAGTGACTTACAGAACAGTTAAAAACAGTCGCAGTATGAACTAGAACAGAATTTCAAATGTAAAAAGAAGTTTAATTTGATTCTAATATTAAAATTGACAACACTGAAATTTATAATTAAAAATAGTAATGCAAGTTTACTTACCTTGGAGCTGAGAAGCCACAACCCACTCCAGCACCTTGCCCAAGAATGGGATATTAGAGGCTGGCTGGTAATTATCCAGTACTGTGGAGTCCAAGGAGAGCTTTTTCAATAATGGCCTTATTACTGCCTCCTTTAAGCATGCTGGGATGCTACCATGCTGCAAGGAGGCATTCACTAACTCTTGGACCCACTCAGCCAGTCTCTCTCTGGCAACTTTTACAAACCAGGAAGGGCAAGGGTCCAGGAGACATGTGGTAGCCTTCACCTCTCCAAGGATCCTGTCCACATCATCAGGCTGCAAAAACTTAAACTTATCCATCAACAAGCAGGAGCCATAGTTATAGCTACAGAACCTGTAAACCACAGCATCCAGATCAAGTGTTGTGCTGGATTTATCCATTATACAAGTTTTAGGACAAGAAATAATATATAAATGCAATCTCTTGCACATATAGAAAACTCCACTGAATTGTTCCCTTCCATTAATACTTAAACTCTATCTGCATCCTCAGACGGTGTACCTTGTGCTGGTACAGTGACATCATTCAACACCAATGCCAGTCAGAGACTGAGTGAATTTAGGGTGATTAAGCCAGAGCAACTGTTTGTGAATATAAACTATGTACCTTTCAAAGTGGCAAACATGCATGTTCAAAACTCAACAAAAGCACCCAAGTGTCAGCTTCTTCAGCTATCCATCCAATTTGTTTGTACAGCATTTCTGACACATACCTTTATAGCCAGTAACAATGGGTCAAATTATGGTTGATTTTCGAAGCTCATTTAGAATTGCTCTGAGGGCTCTGTGAGTGTTCAAAAGTTTCCTATTTTGTGTTACAGCCCAGCATATGCCACTGGAAGACAACATCCAAGAACTGGGACGTACAATGGCTGGAATAGGACAATGTAATTCAGAAAAAAGTGGTGGGTTTGAGTTCTTCACTGTAGACCAAGCCAAGGCCATAATCAATTATTTGAAGATCAGGTATTAATCTTCAGACTTCATTGTTGAAAAACATTGGGGCAAAAGTGACATATTCAGTTCCCACATGTGGATTCCAATCACAGTGACCAGTTAAAATTGCCAACACAGTTTTTATTTACTCTGTGTTTAGTGAGATGTTGCTGCATAAATGTTAACCCAAAGGACTGGGCTTTGGAAAATTGACACTATGGAGCTCACTGTGTGACCCTGAACTTGCCACCCAGTCTTAGCCTGGCCTTAGCCCCCAGAGTTGTTGTGAGCTTAAGTCAAAGCAGACTATTTTAATCTGCACCAACCATATGCCTTTGGAAGTCATCGATCATGCAATAAATAAAACTTTGATATTCAAAAATCAGGCAAAACGTTACCTCATCTGCATGATACATTAGGATTAGCTGTTTCAGCAGGAAAGGGAAGAGCAAATATTCCACCCTGAGGTCACAGGAGAAAGGGGGGAAAGAAATGTAACAAATAATAAAGTAGTAGACTAACACACACAAACTAAATACTAAAAAATATAATAAGCAAGAGGGCAAGGAGAGTTTGTATATACAGTATCCGGGGGGGATTGATGCCACCCCCCCCCCGTCAACAGATGCCAAAAATAACGGATAGCGAACTATAGCTTTCCTTACTTTGTGCTTTGGATTAATTTTAAATTCCAATCATCTGTGGCATTGTCTCCCCTTAGGATCTACTACTCAAGCTACCACGACTTCACAAAGGAAAAGGGGGGGGGAGAGTTTGACTAATGCAATGGTTCCCAACGTTTGGGTAACCCAGATGTTCTTGGACTGCAATGCCCAGAAACCCCGGCCAGCACAGCTAGTAGTGAAGGCTTCTTGGGTTACCCAAGAGTGGGAACCATTGGACTAGTCGCATTTCATCTCATAATATGAGGGTGCTGTGCACTTAATGGATTTTAAGTGAATAAAGCTTTAGATTGTCACTCAGTTACAGAAATCTTAGCCATCAGAGTTTTAGTTGTCTGATTACCTGGTCAAGTTTATGTGCACATGTTATTACTAAATGAAATGTGCACCTTTGTTCCACATTTGGGCATTACAGCCCATCTTCATCTTTGTGAAATCAGACACTTCTAATGTTCTAATACCCGGAAATGTTTACTATATTTCTTCCAAGTAGCTAATCCTCAGAGGTATGGGACTGATAATACATAGGAAATATTTTGCTAAATTGCAACAGACTGAATGCTTCCCAGGAGCTCACAAGCTGCATACAAAGGGAGCATCTCTTCTGTCACATTTGGAAAATGAGCTTCAGTGGGCCATAAGATAGCACAATAACACTGAGACTGCAATCCTGTACTCACTTAAGCTGGGAGTAAGTCCCACTAAAATCAATAGGGTTTACTTCTGGATTGACTGGTGCAAGATTGCACACTAGAACAATGAATGCTTTGCAGCAACAGAATTGAGCAACATATTGTTCGATCAGGAAAGCATGACCGTGGCCAGTTTCGAAGAGAGAAATTGGAGGTGTATCCTACTCCCACTCCTTGAGAGAGGCCTCTGATATGGGCAAGAAGAAGTGTTAACCTCACCCTGCATCCTTCCTCTCTTTGTATGGGCTGCTTGTTTGCTGGCTAAGCTGTCAAAAATCACTCCCTGGCTGGTCCCTTAACTGGCTTAGTACTGGATGACACTTGCAAGGCAGCAGAGTTTCCTCTTCTAAAAGCTGCATCCTGTATCTCGAGGCAAGCAACAATACTGTGCTTCTCTAGTCTTGCAATTCTAACCAAAAATTAACTGGTAGCTATATTTGTTTCATCTAGTGCCTTCCTATTCCAATGGGGTCCATTGAGAATGTGTGACCTGGACCTCACTTTAAACTAGAAATGGGCAAAATGCAGTGGGCTTATATAAAACAAATAAGTTGAATCTGCCAAAAGGGGGGAAAAAAACCACCTTAGAAACCTCCAAGAACTGTACAATAAAGTGGGGCACAGGGCCTCCAATATTTCTAAAAGCAAGCAAATCCCATACATGCAAAAATGAGATTGGAAGCTGATTTCCAGCAATCCTCAGTTTTCATTTTTTAAAAAACCCATTTGCTCCTTTTTGGAGCTGGTGGCTCATGTGTGGATCTTAAGTGTAGAAAATTGGTCTGAAGACTTTCCAAGATAGCAAAGTGTGCTGCTAATATACCACTCATAGCACTTAAAACAGTCTCTGGGTGGTTTACGATTTTATTATGCAGGCCACACATTGCCCTGTTCAACAGCAAGCTGGGTACTCAGTTTACCAATCTCAGAAGAATGGGAGGCTGAGTCAACCTTTAGCCGGCTACCTGAATCCTCTGGGATCGAACGCAGGTCATGAGCAGAGTTTTGATTGCAGTATTGCAGTTTAACGACTGCAAACAGCATAACCTACCCTGCTTTAAACCATAATTCTCCCTCATTTTATTCAGCAACTGGGTGGTTGCATCTGGATTCCAATATTTCCCCCTTATATGTTAGTTGATGTGTACGTTTTGTTGATTGATAATTAAATCTTCCACAAGCCTCTAGATTGCTTTGTAGGAGCATCATAGGAAGTTAAAATGGGGTTTGCCAGATCCATGCCTATTACTGAGAATAATACTATGCATGGGGAAAAAGTTAGTGGGGAGCTCATCTCAAACATCAGTATTTGGCCATGCTAAGGCATCCATAGCTGTCCAACGATGGTATGTTATGATGCTAGATTCATGCTTCCTCTCTATGTATTTTCAGTTATACAGCTGAGACATTTTTTTCTTCCAGTAGAGTATTCAGCATTTATATCTTTTTTTCCCTCTCTCTTCTTTTCTCTGGAGGAAGATTTCTTACAGATCTTTGAAAAATGTAATATAGTGGAGAAAAATACCCTGATTACGATGACTTAAAACTCATGATGCTTCCCCATTTGGTAAAATATGCCCTCCCATCCTGTTTCCTGAGGCGACTGCAGGCATCAATGTTATCAATTGACATTTTCTTTCAGGAAACAGTTACATTTTTTAAAAAATATGCCATCCTTCATCACTTTCAGATACTTGCAAGTTGTCCTAAGAGCCCTACGCTGCAACTTCATTCACATCTGCAATAGTTTTATCTTATGCCAGAAATCTAAGATTTCAGAAATGCTTGCCAAGCAGTGTATTCCTTTGTGACATGAAACAAGGAAAACTGTACTGTTTGGGGGGAAAGTACACATGTTGCAAAAAGCTGCATAATTTAATAGAAATGTGGCCAGATGAGGTTCAGTGAAAGCCAGGGCAGTAACAATTTTATATACACAGATTTGTTCTAGCACTCTGCCCCAAACCCTCCATCCAACCTGAAGTACATCATGGCCTAGATCCAGAAGGCTTCCTCCACTTACACCAGAACTAAGAGAAATGAACAGAGTTATGTTGAGGCATTTCTGACACTGCATTTTTTTAAATGAGAGCAGGAAAATTCAGTTTGTGGGTTCTCCAATAATTTTGTTTTTCTGAAATATGCTAGATATTAATTTTACATCTCATATTTCCTCCAAGGAGATCAAATACTTTCCTTCACCATTTTATTGTTGCAGCAATTCTGTGATGTAGGACTGGCTTAAAGATAGTGTCTGGACCATGGTCACCCAGTGACTTCATAGCTGAATACAAAATTTGAACCCAGGTGTCTGACATGCTAATCCATCACTCTGGCCACTGTGCCCCATTGGTTCTAAAATCTCCAGGGTCTTCTACCTTTGTATAATTCTGCTGTGAGCTCTATTTCCTGCCCTGGAAGTATGAGCTACTTTGACCTGTACTGTACTGACCCTAACACACCTCCTCCTTCTACTAATTTAGTAAAGGTACCTGAAAGGCTCATTTGAAAGAGAGTGTTTCCTGGTGAGTTCTGAAAAAACACTCTGGTGAAGAAGAGAGCAAATCAGGCAATAAATAAATCAGAATTTTGGAATAAAGTCTTCACTTGGTGAATGTGAACAGGGGCAACTTTCTTGTCTGACTGTTCCCCAACAGAGTTGTCCTGACGAAAAATTTCACATTCAGAATGTGTCAGGCTCATTTCAGTAAAATGAATTGATTGGCATCTGAGAGAATGGCAGTACTCTCCTCATTTTTCTGCATTTTGATGCTCTGCCACATTTGAAAATCTTGGGGAGTCCAGGCATCAGTTTGTTAGCAGGAATCAATCAAGGCTGTTAATGCTGCCTTACCATGTCTGATTCTGAAGCTTGGGCTGGGGAAAAAATGTTAGAATAGTTATATCGCCAATATGGCCATATTTGCATCCAAAACATTTCAACTTTCTGTGAGGCAGGCTGGTTGCTGGATTACTTGACTCCTAGCTAGAGATGATAGCTTCTTTTTGCTGTAGCAGAAGTGGTGGTTTTCTTCCAGCTGGAGAGTCAGCAATTTGATTGCAAGGTCATCGGCCAGAAATAACAGGAAAAAGTGTTAGGAAAGTTTACTGTGACTGCTGTGTTGCTTCTGTTGGTACTTGTAGGAGGATTGCTCTCTAACTGGCCGTGTTCCTACTACAACTGCTTTTATACTCTCTGGTGACATAATTTTGTCATGCTGTTATGACCACAACAAGCATTGTGATGTCACCAGAATGTCCCTTAAGCACAGAGGAGCTGATAGAAAAACTGTCTATTTCAACTAGCATTTGTACTATTTGATCAAAAAGAAAAACAAGAACCATTATTTTAAAATGGGCAGGGGCAAGCTTCTTAATGTAGTTAATGCATTTTTACTGTCAGGAGTGTTTGAAAACAACTTCTTGGGTAACATTCAGAAACCTCACTACATCAGTCACACTCGATTGAAGAAACAGATTTTCTGATTTGCTTTTAGAACTCCAGAATAAATTCAAGTCAGTGTTCCCCAGGTGTGTTAAGAGTATAACTCTCCGCAGCCATCCGAGCTAGGATAGCTGGAGATGGTGGATGTTGTATTCCAGCACATCTGAAGGATATCAAGTTGGGGAAGGCTGGTGTAAAAGAATCTAAATGCAAAAAATGACAAACCTTATTTGAGGTTTTGTTATCTGGGTTCTTCCTAGACAGTGCGACTGCCTTCTGTGGCAGATCTTGCTGGCCCTCTCCGTGCAGTCCTCCTGCTGGAAGGCAAAGACCTGTCTCTTCAGGCAGTCTTTTAATACGTGACTGGCTGCCAAGGAAGGGATTTTAATTGGGGTGGTGCATCTTTTACCTTTTTAAAAAAACAATTATTTTAAATTATTTTAAACTGTTTTTATTCAGTAATTCTAAGATGTAATATATTTGGATTTTAATATTTTTTACTTTTATCATTTGTCTTATATATATATATATTCTAAGTTGCCTTCCATCTCTTTATTGAAAGAGTATAACTAAATGACTATGGTTCCACTGTAGCTTCTCCCCAGCCTTGGTTATGCATTTGTAAAGTGGGAATGATGATCTGCGTGACAAAACTGTATCACAGTGAATTAAAAAAAAGGCCAGCTATAGTTGACAAAATCTAACTAAATGCAATAACAGGAAGGGAGGGTCCCTTTGAATATCAAAATGCCCCCAATGTTGTTGTTGTTGCTGCTGCTGCTGTTGTTGTTGTTGTCGTCGTCTTTTGTTGTTGTTGTTGTTGTTATCCTAAAGTTATTGTTTTCTTTAACAGAATGTCCATTTTTCTTGTCTTCCAGCATATTTCAACATTATACCCTATATGAGTACCTTTTCCACAGTCCTAGAGAAGAACTTGTGATTGGAGATGAGGTAAGTAATTTATATGACTGGAACTGATTAAGTGGAATATTTTAATGTGTGTTCTCTGGCATCTGTTTTCTATAGCTCAAAGCAACTTTATGTCAAAACTGCTCAAGTGTTAACAGCATACAATAGCAGATGAAAGAATAAAAAGAAAAGTACAATAACGCCTGTCTCCTCAGGAATGTGAAATTTGGAAGAATAAATATGCCGTTGCTAGTTAGACTGTTGGCATTGTTTCCAAGAATACCTTCTTTGACAACATTTATTAGGATGATATATGGAATTCTAGGTGTAACTTAAGCTGCAGAGGAGAGGGACTGGTCAACGGAGGATTTCAATTGATGTGTATGATTTCTGTGGCTGTTCAATTTATTCAGAATGAAGTGTCTGCAGTAGGGCTATTGAACTTAGCCACCTTGCAACTCAGTTCATTTATATAATTTCCTACTAATCAGTCCCCACAGAGAATGGATTCAGCAGTGGTAGTTAATTTGTAAAAGTATCTTCACTATCCAGTTCTAGTGTAGTATCCTTCCATACCTTGCCTGTCCATGTCCCCTCAGGAACCTATGTAAAAATGGCTATATGATCCATTTGTGGACATTCTGGTTTCAGTAGTACCTGCACTAGCTTACTAAAAAGTTTCAAATAAGGCGAGTTTTCAAATTCTGCAGTAGTCTTCATCATGCAAAGAAGACATAAAACATGGTGTTCCAGCAGAAAGTATATGGGACATATACTCCAACCAGATGCAGTTCCTGACCCCGTGCACACATCAGACCTTCAAATTGCACTGCTATTTTTAAGTAGTTAAATATAATTGTAAGTAATCATATAGTTCAAATATTAAAAAGCCCTTTAATTGACACCAGTGAGATTTGTAAAGCGATCTTCTGAAAATTTGTTTCTTTAAGCTCAGAAAATAATTAGCCAATGAGAATACATCTTTACGGCAAAGGAGCAAAGAATAAATGTCACTACAGTCCCGCTGATTGCTAGCCCTCATAAATCAGTTAGACTAATAAGAAGAAAGCCATTGCAAAAGAAAACTGTCAGACATGAATGTCAGACTCTTGTGACAAGGCATACCTTGACATTTAGCTAGCAACAGGAAGCATTTATCTCATAACATTCAAGTCTTTTTAATGCTTGCTTAAGTAATAGAACCTTATAGAAATAATTTGTCATAAAAGTGAATCTGGTTTACAGAAATACTTCTTGAATCCAGTTTGGAAAGTGGATTTTCCTAGCTGTCATCTAAAAACAATTAACTGCAATTGTGGCTAGTGTTGGATTTATTGGAGGGTGATGGTGGACGAATTTGCTTGGGAGAGGAAAAGAATTAAGCAGGGCAAGGATTTTCCTAAAATATTTTTGATGGAAGTTGGATGGTGAAATACTTAGGTCCATATGGCCCAGCAGCTGTGCCTAATCTGGCATCATTTCAGCATATATTGCTCCATAGGCATTTTCTGTAAATGGCAAAATGGGATGGGGGGGAACCCTCCTCACTTTTACTCTTGCACTCGAGGTAAGGGATCGTTTAAAACTTGAAAATTCCTCAGTTAGTATCTCTTCATCTTGGGACAGCTTGAATTGAAGATAATGAGAGGTTAACTGAATATTATTTCTATCCCCAATAGCAAGGTAATTGGGGTATGTGGTTTAATATTACTGTTTGCCAACAAATGTTAATCCGGAGGTGACTATAGCAGAATTGGAACACACTTCCTTCTCAGTCTTATGCATGTCACAGGTTTGTGATGAAGATAACACAGGATAAGGAACGGGGAACCCCAAGTTCCTTTGAGGAAAGGAACGCTAAAGGTCCAAATCAACCAATCAGTCCCTCAATCAATGTATGTTATTAAGTGACCGGTAAGAGGGAAATTCCTACAGGGGTCCATTTCCTGATTATATTAGTAACAGTGCAGTCTGTTTGTAGTTAGAGAAAGAAATAGGTATAAAGTTCATCCCCACATCCTATTTGTGCTTCTGTTAAAGAGGTGGTTCCATTAACCATTGATTAAAATTAGTTTAATCTATATGACATTACTGGAGACTCAAATAAATCTCTTCCACTTCCTTTCTACCTCAGGATTATTTTCCTTCATGTGGGTATTGGGTCTTTTGTGGGAGCATGTTTGGAATCCTTTTTTATTCCAGCTTTGTCAGCCCTGTTTGTTTCCTTGTCCGAAATAAGTCCGATTTCTATGGGTTGTTCGTCATTTATACTCCCCTGACATCAGCTGTGTGGTAATCTGTGAGAGTGCCTTACCTGTACCTCTCCCAACAGAGGTAAACAGATAAGAGATGGAGAGACGGCAGAAAACTGGGGAGCGGGGATGAACGAAAAGAAAGGAGAGGGAGAAGTGGGAGGAGGAAAAAAGGCGATGCCTTATAGTGTGGAAATTTGAACTGGAAGAATCTGGATTACATTCAGAGAAAAATGGAACAGATATGGAAGCTTTGGTAAGTGAATCTACATTTGCGGGGGAAAGGGACCACTCTTCCAACTTCCCTCAGTTGGAGCTATACACCTTATGTGAATGAGCTCTATGAATAAAGTGATTAATATGAGAACATATATATATATGGATGCTAATAAAAATGTGGGTGCCAATATAGCAAATGAGTCCAATTGCAGTTTTTCAAATTATTTCACAGAAGCTATTATCATACTTTCAAAAGAAACGTCATGTTAAAAGGAGAGAAAGATAGATTTTACCAAGATTCAGCAAAAGGTTGCAGTCTGACTGCAAAAGAGATATGAAATTGGCAGCTGGGGGCGAGCCTATCCTGGCTATTTAGCTGGATCCCATCCGCTCCTGTACCCTGACTGGCACAAATACCCAAATTAATTGCATTTCGGGGGGGAGGGATTACATAGTTTGGTGACCTTTTTAATCCTGTTTTTTTTTTCATGAAATATTCCAGCATCGTTTCTGCTGCCTTTTCATGTGTTCCATTGAGACCTCCTGTCCTGGAATTGACTACTGGGCAGGAGATGTCTTTGCTTCAAGTGGAGCAGCTTATCTCTCTACCTTTCCATTTCTTCTTTCTTTGTTTTCATTACTTTCATTTTTATAGGCAGGTTGTTTGTTGTCTTGTGTTTCTCAAATTTTTGCTGTTGTAACTTTAAAGTTTCCACAGAGTTTTGTTCTTTGCCTGTCTTGTTTTTAAAACTGAGTGTGAATGGGTTCAGATTCAAATTTGGACGGTTCGTCATTTTGCACGGGAAGTACCACAGGAGTCGTCTTCTTAACTTTAACAGCTTCATCTTTATTAGGGACAGGCGGTTCAACATTATTAGAAAAGGGATCAAAGAAACTCAACTCTGGCAACAAGCCGTAACTGTCCAATGCATATTCAATCGTTTCACCAACCGAACTCAGAGGGATGCAGGGACAAATCTCTCCGCATCCGTCGGTTTCCGTAGTGGCGCGCTCTGCACCACGCAGATGGTGCCGCAACATGGGTGCCTTGCCCAGTCACCTTCTAGTGGCAGAGTGTTATGCCGACCATCGGGTTGTATTACTTGGCGACCGCTTCCCTTCTTCTTAGGGAAAACCACCACAGACCACTCAAGGGTCTCGTACTTTACTTCTTTCCCTTCCTGAGAGGGTGGATCGGGAAGCAGCCCTCCTAGCTTTAAGTTTGGGAAATCCCTCAGTAACTCTTGGGTCTTAACCCACTCGTATTCCCTTAGCTTCTCAATCTCTCTCTTCCACAGCTCTACTTCCACCTCAAAACAGCGCTCTCCTTGGGTATTTATACTTTCATCCCAGACCAACAACTCCAGCTCTACCCCTTTCGTGCCTCCTCCACCGAGCTAACTTCAAACTTCCTGCCCTTTCGAGTCTCTGTCTCCATGGTCACATTCTCTCCTTGGCTGTCTTGTCCTTGCTTGCTTTCTAATTCCTCTCTCCCCTTTTGTCCTTCACTAGCTGGGGATGGCACACTCTCTACTATCACTCCTTCACACTGATTAAAACCTGTATAACCATGCAGTTCAGTTTTGTTTGTTTGCTTACTTGATTGCTTTGACTTTTGGGGGTGAAAAAATAGAGCTAAGAATGGCAGAAGGGGCAAGTTCAGTATACCATGTGGCAGGTTATATATGCCAGGAGGTAGTGGCCAGAATCCTGTTAGTTACGCCTACTGGCCTAACTGCTCTACCATAATTTTCAGTAGTAAATTGTCACAAGTCAATCTCTGTCATGGGTGTTTCCTGTTGCATACCAGTTATGTGACTTGGTGCATGATAGGAACTGCCTATGCTGATTTCTTAACTTGTTGCAATTTGCTACTGTAACTTACACAAATGGAATCGTTACTGGTCTATATATGCAGCAGGATTCTAGCCAGTGTGCCATAAAATCATGGTACGAAGAAGAAAGAGAATGATGTGTGGTGGATGAAATAGAAATTGTGCTTTAAGACAATATTAACAGCCATGGCTGTCAGTGTCCATTGAGAAGGCACATGAGGGCAAAAAACTTTTCATGCATAGTTCAGCAAAGGTTGAAGTGTATGGAACTTTGAAGAAGACTGTATGTGTACAGCTAGCTGTGCAGCTGCTCATTCAATCCATTGGTCAAAAAAAAGAGAAGAAGCCAACAATGGTGGGAACCATTTTTCCCAGTTTCTGCTACTGACTTGTGCAGGATTTGATATTTATTGTAGACTTTTTGCATTTGACAAGAGTGTGGCAAGGTCAGAGAGACCCACGCTAAGCATTGAGCTACATTGCCCAGACTTTCCTGGTGTAGGTAATTTCCAAGAGGCCAGATGTGCTGATGGCTGGGGAAATCTTTCTGCCTGGTAGCCCCTCCCAGCCCATTGAGTCACTCTACCTACTCAAGGCTCCAGGGAGGTTACCAAAAATCCACAGGGTTAAGAACTTTTGACACCTATGCCAACCCTGCAAAGTAAGGATACTAAAATACCCACAAAATGCAAATGCGTACAGTAGGTGATCAAAGCAAGGCCTTTCTTTAGTACCA